TGTGTGCGGCCAGGCTCCCAGACCTGTGAGGCAAAGGCCACCTTGAAGAGGTTGAAAGGTGAGCAGACGTGAAGAGATTGACTCAGGGCTGTGTGAGTCACTTTTCTGTGGCCGCGATAAAGCACCACCACTAAAGACAACTTAGAGAAGGAAGAGTTTATTTTGATTGCTGGGTTCAGAGGGATATGAGTCCATCTCATGGAAGTGAGGCAACAGGGAGCAGACAGGGTGAACAGAGCTGGAAGCCGAGACCTCGCATCTTCAACTGCAAGTAAGAAGGAGCAGAGAGAGCAAACAAGAGATAGAGAGACACTCTATAATATTAAAACCCAATCCCGGTGACATACTTCATCCAGGAAGGCCACACCTCCTAAACCTTCCCAAACAGCACCATCAACTGGGAACCAAATATTCAGGTCTATCAGGACAATCCTTATTCATACCTCCAGAGAAGATGTTAACTCTTAAGAAGCCTGAAGTGAAAGCCATATAGAAAGAGCTAGGTAGGGATGTATATGGGGGATGCACATGTATATGTATATATAGGGTGTGTGTGTGTGTGTTTGCAGGTAGGTAGGTATGCATATAGGGGAGAGGGTTCGTAGTTTCTTTTATGAAAGAGCCTTCAAATCTAAATGACAATGAAAAAGAATCAATAGAGAGGAATTGATACTGGTTCTGAGGAAAGCTGTAAATTCATCACACAGATGTCAACTTTGTTCATCCCTATAGGATCTTAAATAACGTTAATTTGGAAGGACAGAGAAAAATTTAGTTTACCTTTGAGACAGGAATGCCATCAAAAATGACCCACAAGTACTCACTCTGTCCTTGGGTCTATCATCCACACATAGCTTGTGTGTGTTAGCCTCCGAGCTTCCCCCTCATTTTATAAGAATAGAATCAATTGATGTGTCTCACTAATGTTCAACTGATGTCAAATTCTATGAGGACTTCCAGTCTCATGTAAATAACCATAGATGTGGTTTACGGGTCTCCATATAAAGCAACTGCAACAGAGGCAGCCTTCAGAGCATAGCAACAAGAAACAGATGGCATGGAGGCATAGGTTCACCACCACCACCCCACAGGGACACAGTAGGATGAGAACACAGTGGTTTTAATAAGAGATTTCTTTGGGTATAAGTTTGGAGTCTGTTGCTTCTGGATTATGGGATACGTACAAGTTTTGTGCCAGAATGAATTGAAATGCTGACAGAAGACGTGAACACAAGCCCCCATCCCTAACCCAGAAGCTATCTCCAATTGATACCCATTTGCAAACAAAAAGTTAGTTCTCTCCAACTGTCTCACTGGGTATACAAATCACTCCTAAGGGTCGGCACCTTGCTGGGCAGTAAAGGTTCAAGGCAAATGAACTCAATGGTGTCTTTGGAGGTCTTTGCCTTATAATGTTTTGTCAGAACTGTACTTTTTTTTAACCTCACAGGTCCCTTGAGTATATTATTCCAAATTTGTGTTTTTAATGGAATCTCTGTGTTTACGAATGTGTGTATCTCTACATTTAAATGTTTCTTGTGGTTTTTCTTGGCTCTTTTTATTCTCTTTGTTTTTCCCTATCACAATTTGTTTATTTTCATTGATCTGATTTTATTTTTGTCTTTAGATTTTTTTTTTTGAACAAGAGACAAGAGTGTGTGGATGCAGATGAGAGGGGATGTGGGGAGCTCAGAGGAATTGAGGGAGGAGAAACTGTTATCAGAATATATTGTATGGAAAAAAATCTGGTTTCAATAAAGGAAAAAATCATGTGTGTGTGCGTGTATGTGTGTGCATGCACATGTGTATGTGTGTGTGAGTGTAAGCTCAGGCATACTTTTGCCACGGTGGTCAAGGAAAAACCTTGGATATTCTTTACTTTCTATCTTTGAGGCAACGTCTTGTGTCTGCCATGAGTAGACCATGCCAGCTGTCCTGCAAGGTTCCAGGGGACTTTCTTGTCTCTCCCTCCCAGCTCACTATAGGAGCATTAAGATGATTGACATGGGCTCTGGGAGTCTGAACTGGAGTCCTCGTGCTTTACTTACTGAGCCATGTCCCTACCTCTGAAGTACTTGTAATTGATTGTTTTATTTTGTGATCACTCTCTCTCTTTCTGACTCTCTCTCTGTCTCTCTGTGTCTTTCTCTTTCCCTGTGGTGTGTGTGTGCGTGTGTGTGTGTGCGCGCGCACACACGTGCTCCCCAGTGTATGTATGTATACTACTTACGTGCAGTGAACTTGGAGGTTAGAAGAAGGCGTCAGGTCCCCTGAGACTGGCGTTACCGGCAGTTGGGAAACACCCCTGTGGGTGCTGGAAACCGAACCCTAGTCTTCTGCAAGAGCAGTAATTAATTTTAACTGCTGAGACATCGTCCCAGATCCCCCAAATATTTTTGGTCTATCATGTTCCTTTCCTTCGGCGTATGTTTAATGCTGTTTTACTGAAGGAAGCAGGTTGTGCGTAATAACATTTTCTATATTACTTTCTCTATGCTGGATGTTGCTGAGCATCCTGATGGCGCCATTTCATGTGTTTGTCTTCCATTTCCTCTGGCATGGTAGGTATAAAAGCTTGACCAAAATTACATGCAATTATTTGGACACCTGCTTCATGGGTGATGGAGGCATATAATTGATAATACTTTTGAAAATCTTTGATGAAAACATCTTCATTTTCGCTTCCAAGTGGTACACAATAAATCAAGATTGTGGGAGGATTGAACACAGCACGCCACCCCAACTCTCATTCTACCTCTTTCATCCAAACAGAAGCCACTGGTGAGGTCCCTGGCAGGTGAGTGCCTGGCATCTGCACAGCTCCACCACTCAATACTGGGCCCCGGGGTAGTGTAGCTTTTTATGTGGGTGCTGGGGATTCAAACCCAGGCCCTCGTGCCTGAAGGACTAGTCCTCTCATTGGCTGAACCATCTTCCCCTTGCTGCCCTTTCCTTCTGGACTATGCTATCCTCACGGTAACTCAGACTGTTTCTGCTCTCACATTAGATACTGTACTACTCTATTGCCAGCTTTTTAATTTTGTTCATTCATGAAGAAATTTACACAGTATGTTTTATCATAGTCTTTTCTGTTCCCGAACTCCTTCTAGATCCTCCTGTCCCTTCCCACCCAGTTCCATGTTCTTTCTCAAACCACGGAGTCTGATTTGCATTGGATAACTGCTCCTGGGCACAGGCCTGCTCCGGAATGTGGTAGATTCCCCCAGTGTCACTTTATTGAAGAAAGCTGATTGTCCCTCTCTCACCAGCTACTATCTGTGAATAACTTCTCGGCTGGGGGTGGACTTTGTGCAACCTCCACTTCTTTGTGGTTGCATTTTGTCTGACTTGATCTTGTACAAGCCAGTCCCTGTGAGTTCACACGTGCATCTGCCCCATTATGTCTGGAAGATATTGTTTCCTTAGGATCATCCACATCTCTGGCTCTTACAACTTTTCCATTCCCTCTTCCTCTCAGATCCCCAAGTCTTGAGGAGAGGGCTGTGATAAAATCATTCCACTCAGGGTGAGCACCCTGAAGTCTCTCTCACTCCCTCCACGTTGTCCAGCTAAGATCAAGAATCGCCCTCTGATGAGGTCAGAGCGATGCGGTGACCTCTGGGAATAACAGTATGTCATTAGAAGTCATTTCACTGTTCAGTTAGCAGAATGAGAGCAGCGGCTCTTCCCCTGGAGCTCATGACCTATCCAGGCTCAGGTTCTTGGCATCATTAACATTTCCACCTCCACAACTTAACCTCCTTTCCTTCTCATACAGCTCTGGACCTCACCAATGCTTAGCTTCTGTGCCCTCTCTTTGCTCTGCTCAACACACAGCTGCAAACATTGTGAAGCAAGTGCCAGGTTTTCTCGTTTAGCTCCCCACGTCCTATAAAACACTCTGGTTTGGTAAAAAACTGAATTATTCAAACTTTGTTTAGTCGAGCTTATGGGTCTGATTAGATTAAAGGAGCCTATTCAATGTATCTTTTATAGCTCTATATTTTTTAAAAAAAAGCTGAAATACTTTTCTTTAGTTAAACCATCAAAGAAGCTAACAGAGTAGCTGTACATGAGCAACAACAACATTTACTGATTTCTGTAAGGTGGACACCAACAGAGGCCAACAATATGATAGAGTAAGAAAAGTGTGCAGAGCACCAAGCCAGGCTTTCCTTGGCAAGCTTAGAAAACATTCAGTCGCCAACCCACGAACTATGGGTTTGTCTTTCAGTAAACATTTCAACAACCAGGAGCTGCTTTCTGACAGAACCAGTAATTGTTCTCTATTCATAGGCAAAAATACATATGAAGAAAAATCGAAGTAAGTCTGAGAGCCATTATGGGGTGGTCCCATTTGCACAGCCAAGGGTCAGGTACCAGATGATGCGGACTGCTCTGATTTAGGAAAAGCTACATCGGCTTCTTGGCTTCTTAGACTGAGCCTCAAATGTTGTAACTTTTACAGTCAGCGCTACAGTAAGCAAACCTTAGGCAGTCTGAATGATTCAATCACACTAATTTTGGCTCATGAGTCTCTGAAATATGTTTTAGGAAAGAATATTAAAGAACCGAGATTGAAGTGTCTCAGAGCACCACCTCTTTCCCCTTACCTAGTGCTTTAAACGGATGCAGTGATGTGTGCACTCGCCGGTTTTCCTTTCTTGCAACACCGTGAAAACCTGCGTAATTATGAAAGTTTAAATGCTTAGGTCTTTTACTATTTATTTTATTTGAAATCCAGCATATTATTATATATCTTCAGAACTCTAACTGCCATCTTCTTCTAACCCTTTAATTAAATCCCACAATGCAAACCTCTTGGCACTAGACCCGTCTTTCATGTTTATTCAACTGAGCACGAATCTTGAAAACGTGTTGAAGTTTGGGGTTTTTTGGTGAGGCTGACATCATGCTGACCGTGGCTGTGATTGGCTCCTGGGAGGCAGAGAGGGTTTATAGCCAGCAAGAGCAAGTGAGTGAGTGAGTGACAGCAGAGGGAACAATCCGTGCCACTCACTCACTCCAGCCAGGACTGCCAAAGGGTAAGACAGCCAGCAAACTTCCCTACCGCACAGCCAGGCACCTCAGGCTCACCTGTGTGGATCTGGCCTGGAATTCTTTTTTGGGGTCTTATTGCATTGTGCACAATGATTGAACTTTTGTTTACTATGAAACGGGACCTCTGAGTTGAGCTTCTTTCCAAAGGCCAGACTTCTTAACCTAAGCAAGCAAGTAAACTGTTCAGATTGAGAGCATGAACTAGGAAATGATGTGTTTTCTACATATCCTGGCCAACTGTTTTTCTCATGCTGATGTATTTAGGGCAACCGAACTGTAATACTATTTACATTTGTAAATTGCCTAGATATATGTATTTTCCATAAATTACACCTGTTCTGTACTTTAATAATACACAGTATCTTTTCAATATATTCTACATTAAATTTCAAAGTGATCATATCCTATACCTCTAAAATTAATATGGGAATGGTTTTGCTACCTTATATGTAATTGTAAGATAGTCGTTTAAGAGTGTTTGAGTTGACCAGTCAGCAGTGACCACTATGGAAGTTCCTGATGTTGAATGAATCAGAAAGTAAATAAGAGGAGATTAACATGGGCAGTCCGTTGAGGTATTCATGTTTCTCTTGTTTTTATATAGAAAATGTTATTTTCTCTGCCATGCTTTTATTCTGGTTAGGTCAAGATTTCTTTTGAGACATTTTTCTTACCACAGCTCTGTCTACAGTTCTATATATTCAAGTTTTAAGTCCTTCGAATATTAGGAATATCACATTTCATGATACTATGAAGCAAAGTTTTTCCTCCTCCTCATTTTTCCTCTCCTCCTCCCTCTTCCTTTACTCCTTCTTCATTGCTATCATTTTTTTTATATAGAGTCTTTTATAGCTCAGGCTTTCTTCGAATTTATTGTGTAGCCAAGGATATTCTTGAATGCCTGATTCTCCTGCATCCACTTCCTGAGTGTACCACCAGGACTGGATCATCAATCTTCTTAAACAGTGGTCCATCTTCAACGACTAAACCCCTTTGATCCTCTGAATTGTCAAACTGTTTGGGCCTCTGCCTCTATATCTGTCTTTCTCTCTTCTGTCCCCACCCTCCCTCTTTTGTTTGCACACAAATATGAATGATCCCAAGACACGACGTCAAAAAAGCCGTGGAAAGAGTGTTTACACATCGAATCAGAATTCCCACACCAGCAGTGCGTTTGGAGCCACACACTGCACAAAGGTAGCGTTAGTATCTAATACTCAGCACAGCTGTAGTAAATGCTAATGATGAAGCAAAATAAAAAGACCCTCCATGGAGTGTAGTATGTGACCTGAGTTCTATACATTTTACATATCTCATTACAAGATGTATTTGGAGAAATTGTTATTCCCTTTGTCACTGTGTATGAAGCAACTCTCATCAGCTGTGAGTGAGCCGGTGTTAGGATTCCAGCTAAGTTTGCTCAACTTCTGGAGAAGAGAACTTTACAATGGAATTGTAGGGTAACGCTACCCTGTCTGCTTCTATTTATGATGAAGCTCTGTGGAAGGGGGAGCTGTTGCTGTAAACGCCAGGATTGCTAGGGATTACCTACCCATGGGCTGCTGCATCTTTGCACACTCCATAGAGCATCTGTATCTATTATAGTAGAAGATACAGAGCTAAAATAGAAAACCACTCCATACAGCATCTATTCCTATTACAGTAGGAGAAGCAGAGCTAAACTGGAGGACCACTCCATAGAGCACCTGTACCTACTACACAGTAGGAGATACAGAGCTAAAATAGAACTGGGGAGACCTGATTCAAGGAAATTTATCCTATACCTTTAGATGAGACTCTCAAGAGCTATTTCTCATGAGAATAGCATTTCATATATTATGGGTTGTTTCTCTTTCTCCCCTCTTCCCTTTCCTTCTCCCCTCTCTTCCCTCCCTCCCTCCTTCACTCCCTTCCTTCCTCTCTCTGTGTCTCTCTTTCTTTCTCTCCCCCTCTTTCTCTTATTCTTTCTCTACCTCATTCTCTCTCCCCTCCCTCTTTGTCCTATCCTTCACTCTTTCTTGCAGGACCCAAAGCAGCTATGGAATAGTCACAGGGAAAAGGCCCCTTACTGTTTATTCTAAGAATGAACGTTTAGTTCAAAAATCTATGCACAGAAGTTGGAAATTTCTTGTAGCCCACCAGGTATATGAACCATTTCAACACATTTGGGCTTTGCTTGATACTTTACCTATCAGCAATGGAATGGGAAACAGCCGCAACGACACACCAGCTGGTGTTGCTGGCACGCCCTTGTCAGTACCAGCTGGAGATTTCTTCACACCCCCGGGGAAAGCATCCAGAGTGTTCAGATCCTGACGCAGGGATCCAGTGATCCTCCTCTGAAAAACCACAGAAAAAATGTCTGAGTTAGATATGAAGCTCAGAACAATTTAGACACGGCTAAAACCCAAATGGAAGGGTTTGGAAACAAATACAGACTTTTTCAAGGCTAGAGGTCAAACAGGTCCTTAGGTGAGCCAGGCCAAGTACCTACACCTCACCTCTCCAACCAGAAATTCACTTATAATTAGTTTAAATGAGAATTAGACAAATTAAAATCAATTGAATTCTTTCTGAGCAAAAACGTCATGTACTATGCTTTGCTATCTATTAACAATATCCCTTCTTGGATTGCAGAAATAATTTCAAAATGAAGACTGCTTTAATTTTGCTCAGCATTTTGGGAATGGCTTGTGCTTTCTCAGTAAGTTCATTGTGGGAAAAAAAACCCTATATTTTTGGCAGTTGCATTTTAATGTAAACAGGGCATGTACTAATAAAATGTTCTCTTGGATAGATGAAGAATTTCCACCGAAGAGTCAAAGCTGAAGATTCTGAAGAGAACGGGGTGAGTAATTTGAGAACATTTCTCTGGGCTACACTTACTGTAACATAACTGCACACTGCGTATGATAACACGCCTCTCATTTGTGCAGGTCTTTAAGTACCGGCCACGCTATTTTCTTTACAAACATGCCTACTTCTATCCTCCTCTAAAGCGCCTTCCAGCCCAGGTAAGCGTAAAGCTTAACTTTCCTTTTCACTCCTCGTACTTTTGTTGTGGCGATCAGATTTGACACCCAGATATCTGGATCTCAGCCGGAGGGACTTCAGGCTATAGAAATTTGACTGTCCTAAGCTCTCTCACAAGAGACAAAGCACACAGAGTGAAAACGCTGGGGTAATAGAAACCAGTGCCCTGGCATCTAGAGTTCAAGTGTTCAGCTAATCTGCTGACAAAAGTGAATCGTTTTATCACCTACTAACAAAGAACTGGTAAGATCATCAATTGTCATGTTGGTTGGCTCAGTATTGCCATCCAGCTGTTCACGTTGGGTATTTCAGCATCCCCTGACCTCTCAAAAAGCTAAGTTCATAATCACTTGGGTCTCTGGAAAACCAGTAGCCTTAGCAACTCTCTTGCAGTGATGATGCTATCTGGAACCCTTACCCTGTTAGGGGGCAGAGCTGTGAGTGTCTCATGGAGTACAAATACACTGGGATCTGGCCCAAGTCCGCAGAGCAAAGAGAGAGACTTGGTAAATGTAGGAAGCCTATGAGGGAAAAAAAAAATCAGTAAAATTTGTAAACACGAAGGAAAAATAATTAAAGCTAAAAGTGAGACATCCCATTTTTGCTGGGTTGTTTGTGAAAGAGGCCTTTGAATACTGGAGGGTGTGGTGCTGGTTCTAAATATACACAAAAAAAACCTAGAATGACACTATTTCCGTGACTGTACTGTTTGGGTTCAGAGCATCAATTATGTACCATTTGACCCAGGACTCCTAAGTCACTGAAAGCAACAGGACCCTGAGAACACTGCCTCCACGCAGCAACTGGGCTGTGAGTCTCACCGTGTGTCAGGCTGACCCCTCTCCAGCTCATGCCGTGATAGGAAATCATAACCCTCAAGTATTTCCAGTCTCACATATGTCAGGCTGACCCCTCTCCAGCTCATGCCATGATAGGAAATCATAACCCTCAAGTATTTCTAGCACTATTATAATTACAGGGAACTTGTGAGGCTGCAGAACCGTGAGCGCAAACGGTACAAGCGCTGTGGGTTTTCACTATTGTTCTCCTCTCTTTGGTTCACCTCAGGCCCAGAAATAAACAGGATCCATTTGGAGCTCTGCTCCCTTTCTGAAACAGAAGTGACATAAATTCTAGTTCTTAAGTATTTGGTCAACTTTTCTGGAATATCTAATATACTTAGATACAACCAATCCCACCTAGATTTTTTTATAGACACGTGTGATCTAACTAAAAAAGTCTGTATTATGCTAATATTGGTAAGGCTACAGTTTTCTGTTTATCGATAGACTCAAAGTCCTTAGGAGTCATATATGCTTTTATCACAAATTATATACATAATGGCTTGATCGAGTTGAGTAGAACTTAAATAAGAAATAAAACATCTCCAAATGTAACTTTCCGAGATATTTGTGGCCACCTCCTGTTTTACAGTTTGATTTCTTCTTATGTCAATGTCTATTGATTGTCCAAAGTTGTCATCCTGACCCCATGAATTACGTTTTATTGACTTTGAAATTCATGTTTTAGTTACCAAGTCTACTTATGGGCAGCCATCCATAAAATAGGAACTTGTGTGTAATGCATCAGATGGGTTGCAAAGCCGCCAGCAAGTCTCTATCCTGGCAATGCCACCAGCAAGTCTACTATAGTTTGTCTCCATCCTGAACTACAGAAACAAAAGTATAAATCAGCCTAATTAGTATCCTAAGCTGTTTTAACGGAAAGCTACATTTTATGATTAGAATAATATTTGATTAGTGTGCCAACTTGTAGTGAACAAGATTCAATTTTATTTTGTTTTTTATCACATTTAGCTGGCACACAAATGTGGGTTTTCAGAACTGCCTTCCATTAAGACACCAGTTCATCTGCCTTTTATCAACCCATTTTCCCTCATGTGTCTATATAAATGAAAGACTCTGGAAGGATCACTAAGAGTTTGTGATAAATTGGTAATAAGCCAAAGAAAGGAAAGTGATTCAAAACAATAACAAAATAAAGTGCAAAACTTTAAATATTCCATACAGCTTTGCCATGTTTCCCTCACACACTAGTGGTAGAATGTTAACTGAGTTACGGAGAAAATTGGAGTGAAGGAAGCTTGAAAAATACCCAACAAACTCCCAGCTGAGAAAAACAGCTCTGCTTAGATAAATATATTGTCCTCTATATTTGGTTTAATAAGTGGAAATAGCTCAAATATAATGATTTGTTTTACTCTCCCCCTGGGTGTGGAACAGCACAAGTACTAGGTTATGGCAGTGTAGGGAGGGTCTAATTATTCTTTTTCCACCCAGAGTTATTATTGGCTGAAGACAGACAGCAAGCATTCCCTTTCCTTGGCTGGGTGAATGGCCACCAGGAGAATGAGTCCAGCAGGGACTGCCATGAGCAACACAGGGATGAGTCTTTCCTACAGTCTTATTCCTAACCTAGAAGTTAAAGGTCCTTGTAGGTCATGTCCTCTCAGGACAGGGTGCTTAGCTGATCATCACAATCAAAGCCAACACTGATAGGCAGGAAATGGCAGGCTCTGAAGATAGGCAGGTATGAATCCTTGAGGTGTTGGGGATGGTGAGGAATATGAAGGGAGATTCCCTTTGGGCTTCTTTGGTAGAAAGATCAAGAATCTCCTCTCTTGGCTTAGAAGCTCTGATGCATGTTTAGATTGACATATAATTAAAAAATAAAAAGAATGCTCAGAATTAGGATATGTCTAATATGTAGAACATTTGCCCTGAATTTGATCCACAGTACTGTAAGAATATAACTAAACAATATAAAGGCAACAATGAAGAGCCCAGTAAAGTTCATTGACTCATGTTTTGTACATAGGCTCCTTGGTTCACTTTATTATCACCCCACCAAATCGTAAGTGTTTTTATATCTTTTATATAATTTAACTGTGCATATATTAAGTAATACAATTTAAAAATTAGTTTTAACTAAATTAAATTTTGGAATATAAATTCAGTTTCTATAAATCAAATTATAATTTAGATTGTACTATTTAAGAGAATTATCAAATAACAGTATATACTTTATAGTAAACTAAATCATTATCACCTACATTTTGTAAGAAAGACTATGACATCTACGTTCTAGTTGAAGACCTGCTTAGGAATGGGTGGGAAAAATCACCCTTTTTGAATGTTTTTTTCTTGTAGTAGTCCCTTCATTCCTTCAGAAGTAATCAATTTGCAATTTCTTATTCTGGCTTTTACATAAAATGCAATAGTTCAACATATTGTCTATGTTTGAGGGATTGGAAGTGAGAAACCGCATTCATATGCTGTTCATTTGAAAGTAACTGCTTCACTGCCCTCATTTCCCATATGCCCAAGTGTCCCCACATCCCTCTCACTTTAGCTTGACACTATTCTGTGTTACTAGACCAACCAATCCAGTAATATGTGTGAGTAAATATCTCTGTGTGTTACATTTTAATCATCAGGAAATTTTAATTGTTGTGGAGTATATTTTTATGCTTCATATGTGTATATAAATGTACATGTGCACACATACTATGTATATGCATATATGTTTGTTTTAGGGAGGCAGTGACTCTTCTGAAGAAAATGGAGATGGAGATAGTTCAGATGAGGAAGGGGAAGAGGTAAGACACTTTCTATTTCTTCCATAACAAGCCAGGCAACACAAGGAACTAATAGCAATCTAGACTCAGCAAATAGCCACTACTTCCTTGCCAGCTACCCATAACCAGCTATTTTGGACAAATGGAATGTTATTTAAGTTAGAAGCAACTAAAATAACCTGCTTATTACACCACTGCAATGTGGGGTTAAAGTTACCTAGATGTGGCACACAGGAACAGAGGTGTCTGCATTTTAAGGGAAATGTGAAACCCACTAAAACGCAGCACAAAGTTTGTTTATATTGGATGCCTCTGATAGTAGGCAAGAGAGAAGTAAGCCTAAGCTTGATGTGATGCCCTTTCCTTGGTGGTCAGGATGTGAAGCCAACTGATGCCTCTATAGTGTCCTGACTTAATCTGTAGAATAAGGTCAATCTCTTTAATAGGAATTCAATAGATTTTTATCTAATTATTAGATTACAGAAATTAAAATACCCAAGATGTATAAACATCTTCCTAAACAGTTAAATTACTGTAATTAATGGCTAAAATTCATTTGTGTAGCTTGGAAATCATGATATTATGTTTATAACTGACATCTTGCCTATGGAAGCATACTATTAGGATCTATTTTCCTGGATTTCTAATCATAGCTACCCCTGGCTTGGGAACATTCTAAATTCGGGCATTCCTAGGTGCTATTTGTGAATAGAAAATGACAGACAAAAATGGATCATCTGTGTCATCTATGCTGAAGGCAGATGTGGCAACTCATACAGTGACCAAGTATTTGTTTTTTTCTTTTGGTTAAGTAACATCTCCTGTACTATAGTTATACTGACAGTGGAGGGAAGGTCTTAAAAATCTTGCCAAGCCAGGACTAGAAACCATATGTGCCCTACATCCTTCGAAATCCTGCTGCAGCTCAGTCATGCTCCGAAACGAAGGGAGACTCAGCCACTCTGTGCCCCCTGCTGTATCTCCTCATGCTGCCTCACATACTTCAGATGCATATATGATGCCCAGGAAACAGCTGCTTTGAAAGGTCAGAGGAATAGTGCTCCGAAGATCATCCACAGTGATCGAGGAAACGTGGGTGGGTTCAGGAATCTTCCACCTGTGAGATTCTAGGCATGTTTTAATCTCCATTTCTTCTTTAAAATTTAATTGCCGGTTCCACTTAGGTAAACAAAGCACAGGGACTGTGTTCACCTGAGGAAACAACTTGGGCACATTTTCTATTTAATAATAACATCCCCCCCCCCCGCATACCATAAAGTATTTCAGACTTGCTTAACGGAAACATACATGATAAAATTATCAGCTCATTGAAATTTCAGAAACTGGACAAATAAGTAAAATCAGCACTAATAATAAAAAAATAGCACATGCCGAATATTCATTAACGAACTTCCACCATGGACCACCATGAGTTTGACTTCAATTGAATAGGTTAATTTCTGCTTGTTTTCATATACAATACTTTATATATATATTATATATATATATTATACATGTACATATTCTATATACAGGATGACATAGTGTACATTCTTTTGTAAGAGGCTTCCATTGTTTTGACCTTCGGAGATGCTTCTATGTGATCCTATCCTTTTTAGGGCACAGGCTTCTCATTGGCATTTCCCTCTATCAACGCACTGACTCACCTGAAAATGGGCATGTTGGTAGCTTCCAAATTAGGATTGCTGCAAAGATCTTGCTACTGGGAACATTCTAGAACTTCAAATGACTACACTTATCCATTTGAGGAGGCTATTTTTCTAAAAAGTGTAGCTTCTGAGTGAAAAAGAATGTGCATATGTTCAGCTTCACTAAAGGCTTTCCAAAGTAGGGGCGGCCAGGCAAAGGCCCGCTCTCTGCAGACAGAGCTTCTACTGCTTCCTGTTCTCACCAATGCCTGTATGTTTTATTTATTTTCACCATTCTATAGCGTCATGGATATAGATAACTTTTCTATCTAATAAGATATTTGAAGCCTAATATCTAGCAACAGTCCAAGTCATTTCCCTTTTAATTTGTTTGCACAAGAATATTCTGAAATTAAGTTTCTGGGCCAAGAAAATATCTAAGAAGAACAACTGCATACATTAGGAGATTGGCCACTCTTCAGTCTTGACCCTGACACCAGGGAATTGCTATGAATTATTCTTCATTTGACTTTGTACAAACCACTGTATCACTACACATCAGTTTTTTAATTGGTGAAATGGGGGAACAAGGGCCAGCTAACATGGCCTCCTAGAGTCTCTCCAGTGATACCAATAATTTCTCCTTATTCCACTAAAAAGTTTAATTTGCTTGAATGAATCATTAAAAAACCAGACTGTATACCACACCTGAGATATCGGGTACCTAGCTTGAAAGATGGTCTTGGGTTGTGTCAACCCCTTCACTGCATCTGTAGCCCTCACAAACTGAATGAGAAAAATCCTGCTTTAGTCAATTCATTTTCGTAAGAAAGATCAAACTCAGATTCAATTTGTTTTCCTGAAATCTTAACATTATCCCACATCACAATCTCTCAGAAATACCTTTCAAGTCAATTCAACTGCTAGGACTCACTGAAATACATAAATTTAAACATATGAAATCCAGACTTTAACAAGGAGGTATTAATTTTACTACTAGATTAGCTCAGTTTACCTACTATGATCTCACAGCCTAGATAAAAGTATAAAATAAAGATTATAATGTGAATTTTTTCAGGAGTCTTAATTTGTCATCATCTTTATGTAGTAGCATTATACACTACTGTAAGTTTCGTGAGCAGAAGAAACAGTTGTGCACCCGGCATTTCAAGCGCAAGGATGGTTAAGCTGATATGACAGAAAGCGTAAATAACTGAAGCACCCCACCAGCAGATAAATAGGATTAAATAATGCTGAGTGCCTAGAAATAAGATAGGGAATGGCACACAGGAGGCAGCTGATGAATCAGCCGAGGGCATTTCCAAATAGTGCCTCAAAGACCCGACAAATCTGAAGCTCTCTTCCAGCTATAGTAGATTCTGAACTCTGGACATTTTCACTAGGAGAATTCAAATGAAGAGGAGAACAATGAAGGTTCTGAGGGGAATGAAGAAGAGGAGGCAGAGGCCGAGAACTCCACCCTCTCTAGTGTAACTCCACTCTATGGAACCGAGGCCACACCTGAAGCAGAGACTATAGGACTGGCTGCCCTCCAACTGCCCAAGAAGGTAATGAGTCTCAAATGTTGATCTGTTTTCATCTCTTCACTGATGTCCAAGTTTCCCTGACACTATCCACATCATATTTGATATCATCTTTACTCAATATTATTACCTCATTAAAGAAGCGAGCATAGATACACTTTCCCCAATTACAAATGAGTAATAATATTCTGTAAATTTCTTTCCCATGCTATTAGACCATCCTACCTCAGAGGTGCGACTTCCAAGGCAGACAAAATGGGGGTCAGAGCTAGGGAAGCATGGCACACAGGGTAGACTTATGGAGTACACACCCCAACAAAACCCATTACAAGGGTATATATTCTGAATTTTTAAAGCCATCAGCCATTTCTTTCACAAATTAAGTTATCTTTAACTTGAAACATCACTCAGAACAAGGTCATCAGTGAGAATTTCTCAGTTTTCCACAGCTAGACTTGGATGATTTCAAACCTTCCCTTTCAGGCTGGAGACACAGAAAGCAAGGTTGCAAAAAAGAAGGAAAGTGATGAAGAAGAAGAAGAAGAAGAAGAGGAAGAGGAGGAAAATGAAAACGAGGAGGCAGAAGTTGAAGAAAACGAGCAGGTGGTCAACGGCACCAGCACAAACTCCACGGAGGTGGACGGTGGCAACAGCACTAGCGGAGGGATCAATGGAGAAGAAGGTCAGGGACAAAGCGTCACTGAAGCGGGTGTGGAAGGAGCCACAACGGGCAGGGAGCCAATCAGTGATGGCCCCACGACTGCTGTCCTTCCGAAGGCGCTTCAGCGTACGACCCCACCACCCCAAGCCTACGGGACCTCTTCCCCACCACTCAGTAAAACCACAGCTGAGTATTGGGGAGAATATGAACAAACCGGCATCAGTGAGAATGACAGTGACTATCAAGTCTACGACAATGAGAATGGGGAGCCTCGCGGGGACAATTACCGGGCCTATGAGGACGAATACAGCTACTACAAGGGGCGTGGCTATGAAGGCTATGATGGTCAAAATTATTACTACCATCAGTGAAGCCCCACCCCTGGGGTGAATTCCCTGTTCTGTCATTGTATTTGGGTACCATTTATTTTCAAAGTTCAACTCAGGAAGGTGCAATATAACAAATGTGCATTTTACAATGTGGAATGGTGCTACAATCCCAGAGTGATTTCTGCAAATGCTTCTATTTGGAATGGCTTCTTTTGCTTTTTTCCAGGTGTGTCACTTGAAAGGTCATTGTAAGTCAGGGCCATTGATCGAGCAGTACATTGATGTCTGAGTTGGGCCTAGCTGGAATGCTTCCTGTTTGTGCTGTGTGTACTATTGCTAATGGCCCAAACACACTCTTTGTACAAGAAGGCAACTAGAGAGAGATTTATGAATGATACTGTATACAGCAAATGTGTACTTCCTGTATCACACTTCCTATCTAATACTGTATTAGGTTTAATTCTCATCCTCATGTATATTATGTGACCTGTATGCACAGATTTTATCGCAAATAAACATGCAATTCTTCAAATGTGTTATAATTAAGATGAAACGGGGACCATCAGAAAGCACGTGGGTTTAAAAAGGGTGGGACCATTCAAATAAAAAACAAGCTTATTTCCATTCGGCTTTAAAACTCAGAGGATCTGGAAACATTCTGTCTTCAATAAGTCTGCACAGCTAAGGTTTGACGATTGAGAGCAGAATCAGCCACATACACCAGGGAATGAATGAGTCTTAGAGCTGCCAGATTTAACAAACAGGAATACATGTAAGATGTCCACTTCAATTTGAATTTCAGATAAATACAATTGGTTTTTTAAAACAAGTGGCGCCCATGAATAATTAGCCTCTGTGAAATATCTGGAATAAAGTTATGCTAAATAAATGACTTATTCTTTTTCTAATATTCAGTTGTGACTGGGTATCCTATGATTTTCTGGTAAGCTTATCCTTACAAAATTTAATTTTAAATAGGGTAAGTCAAACATGGGGTAATTAAACTCTTACACACACAAACACACATGCGAACACACAAACTACAAAAATGTGCATGCAAACACCTACACAAACCACACACACAAACTGTACACACAAAAACATGAAAACATAAACATAAACCACACACACATATACATGTAAATACACACTCAAACTGCACACACACACACCACACACACACAATTAGTGTACAAAGTCTTGACAGCAACTGACTCCTTAATATAAACCTAAAAACAAACTTCAAGTAAGCATATAGACACTTGGAAGAAGCACAACAATAACTGGCATATCCTTTAATTTATACATTGTAAAACATATGAGCCCACATAGTCAATGTTTAGACATCCAGAACATGAAAATGTAGAATCTCATCAGAATGACTTCAGTTTGGGTGCGGTCAGTTCCATTATCACCAGCTCACGGACCTTGGCGGAAGAGTCCTTGGCGGAAGACTCCTTGACGGAATGGGAGTCCCTGACGGAATGGGAGTCCCTGACGGAAGAGGCCTTCTGTAAGCACCCTCACTACACCCGGCACCTGGCTCACTGCCTTCCTTTCTTTTTCCGTTGCTGTGATAAAATGCCCTGGAAGACATCTTAATGGGAAGGTGTTTATTTCAGCTCACAGTTGAAGGGTAACAGTCAGCCCTCCTGGCAGAGAAGCCGAGGCCGCTGCGGTTTGATCCAGCAGGTCATATGGCATCCACAATCAGCCAGTAGTGACGGGAGCACACTGCAGTTTAGTTCTTTTTCTCCACCAGTAGAGGCTGAGATTTCAGCCAGGGAACGGTGCTGCATACAGTGGGAGAGTCTTCCCGTCTCAGTTAAAATGAGGATAGTCCTCACAGGCCCTTTCAGAGAGCCATCTCCTAGGGGGTTTGGGATTGTTTCAGGTTGATAGTTAACACTAAACATCAAACTCATGACTGGTTAACGTTCTGCCACATTTATTCTTATCCTTGGTGGTTCGTGTGTGTGTGTGTGTGTGTGTGTGTGTGTTATGCACGCAACTCTTTGTAAAACCGCTGAAGAGGAGTTTGTAGAGATCATGAAGATTGATCAATATTTCAGTATTTATTTTAAGAAGAATTAGCCAGGAAGGGTGGCATATGCCTGTAATCCTAGTGTCCAGAAGGCTGATGTAATAGGATGGCAGCTTCCTGGCCAACATGGTCTGCATGGTGAGGTTCTTCTCCACTCTCCTTCCCCACCTAACAGTGACTTACCCTGTATAAGCACAATACTACTCCCATTCTCAAGACTTTGAACATATACAAGATTATCTTATACTCTTCTAAATGGATCACTCATAAACATCTTCAGTTTCCCATTTGTTATCATCCTCAACTTTATCGGTGAACAATTGGCCCAAACACATCACACACAACCAGGCAGGGTTAGGCAGTGCCAGGCTGGCTTAGGCTCTGTGCCCTTTACCATTTTACAGCACCCTCTGTCGTGTGGGCATCCACAGTGGATGGGCAGGGCATCTCTAGTGCCAGCCTCGCTGTTGGAAAATATGCCTTGTACATCACTGTTTGCTTAGAAGCAACCAGGGTTTAAGGCTTGTGTGTTGAACAGCATCTTCAGAGCCAGGATTCTCTCCTGCAGGTTTATATGGTACAGAGCTCATGAACTTTGGAAGCAGAGGCTCTGGTCTTACTGGGTAATTTACCCCCATGCACCGTTAACTCCTTCCCCCAGTCCCAGGCTACTGCTCAGTGAGACACACTTAAGGGACTCAGAACCGGCCCATCTCTTCTCTCTCCTCTTTAGAGGCTGAACTTTAGCTTCAGAAGCCTCCATCACTTTTCCTTCCTGGAGTCTCATCTTCCACATTCTGTCTGTCTGTTGAGAGGTTTCCTTCTTGGCTGTAGAGTTTCACTGATCCCTCAGTCCTTGACTTCAGGGTGTCTTTTGTTTTTTGTTTGTTTAGCTATTTATTTGACATTTTGAAGCTACCAGGAAGCCAAGTCACCTTAGTCATTATGCTTTCCAAAATAACTCAGTTTTCTGGTAAATGGTATAATTCGTGGGTTTCATTTCTCCACTCCTACTGAAACGTAGCCTTCCAGGACTGCATACTCTTAGACCTGGTTGGGGTGTCATGGTTACTAAACACCAGAATGCTTTGTAACAGTCCCATGATGAAGCTGAAGCGGTTAGATTGACACACTCCATTTAACTTGATTCCACCAGCAGAGAAACATAGGCTCACATGGAGTTGGACAGCTTGTTACTCATACAGAGAGCACACAGGAGCAGTAATATGTCAGTTCTCTGTGTTCCTAGCATTACAAGACAATCCTAAACCAGAGGTGACAGGTGACAGAGGGCAGAACAGTCTGATGCTGAGGGGCTGGCTCTGATCAGAGTTGAGCAGGTGGACTGTACAGAGGCGGAAGGTGAATGCTGAAGAGAAAAAGTTGAAAGATTTTTACTCAGATGACACTGGGGGAAAGACAGGCAGGCATGACAGGGCCCGCAAAGCAGGGAGGACAGACAGGCAAACAGACAGGCAGGCATGACAGGGCACACAGGGCAGGGAGGACAGACAGGCAGACAGACAGGCAGGCATGACAGGGCACACAGGGCAGGGAGGACAGACAGGCAGACAGACAGGCAGGCATGACAGGGCACACAGGGCAGGGAGGACAGACAGGCAGGCAGGCATGACAGGGCACACAGGGCAGGGAGGACAGACAGGCAGGCAGGCAGGGCAGGACAGGCAGGATGTGAGTTGATGACCTGAGAATATCAATAGGACCACAAAGTAGCTGCTTTTAAAAGATGGATTGGTCCCCTGTCTTGATAGCCCTCTATCCCTCTGCTACTTTCCAGTCTTTCCAAGTTTCATCAACCCATGTTTCAGTCAAGTGTTCTACATGTCAACCCAGGTTTAGGCTTTGGAGAACACAACACATTTCTCTATGGTTTAGTTTACTGCTGTAATATAAACTCTACACCGACACCTTCTAGGCTGGTGCTGATTCCCGTCATGCTTTCTTGTTCATAATAGTCCCCCCTTGAAGAACTTTAACTTTGATTTTCAAAAGAAGTCTTGAGATAATACGTTAATAGCAACAGCTAACTGGAACAGAAACTGGCAGAATGACTCTGGATCCCCAGGAGTCAAGGAGGTCATTGAAGCTGAGCTGAGACAACACAATGCAAACAAGCCAGCTTAAAGGATGGAGAAAACTAGATGTGCCCTGGTATAGTAAGCTGGTGTTAATATGCGTCCCCTGAGAGTCACATTCTGCCTCCTGTGGGCTCGCAATGCAGAACAGCAGCCTCTGAAAGGAATCCTATTCTGAGAGTGAGCAGTGTTGCCCCCCTGGAGGCCACAGATCAGAGCTTTGTAGCCGCTCCCAGCAATGTCACCGTGTCCTGGAGAAAAGGCTGGTGTCATTATAATTACATTCTAACTACACCCTTTGAGTCGTTATCTTAAGTTGCAAGAAAACTTCCTTCTAATATAAAAATAAAGGTAAATTATGTTGACATACCCTCTCTTCGCTAGTAATAGCTGAAGGGGTGTGTGGTCTGGAGAAACGGACACAACTAGCTTCCTGCTGTTTTGTGGCGCTCCACGGTGCTGCACTGGAGAGAAATGCCCGATGCTGAGGAAAGATAATGCTTCCTAAAGAGAAGAATCATTTGGAGGAAAATGAGAAGTGGGCTGCCAGTGATGTTTTTTTTGTTTTGTTTTGTTTTTTTTTTGTTTTTTCGAGACAGGGTTTCTCTGTGGCTTTGGAGCCTGTCCTGGAACTAGCTCTGTAGACCAGGCTGGTCTCGAACTCACAGAGATCCGCCTGCCTCTGCCTCCTGAGTGCTGGGATTAAAGGCGTGCGCCACCACCACCCGGCTGCCAGTGATGTTTTAAAGAGCAACATTTTTGTAGCTTAGGATGAATATTGATACTTACGAATGAGTATATTTAAAATAAACGCACCTTATTCTTCTGAGACAGGACAAGATTTCCAGGATGAATTTATAAACAAAACTTTTAGGACAAATTTGTTTGCTCGTTTGTTTTAAAGTCAGCAAAGAGGACAGTGTCCAAGAGAAGAGAAGCAAAGCGTCCGTCTCCTGGGACACTCACACACTCAGCGGCCTCTTCCCAGAATGCCCCCCTCCAAACGTCTAGCTGGAAAGGGGTCTCACTATTTTTGCTCTTGTCAATTGTAGGTTCTAAGTTTGAGACTTAAGTTGGATGTTTTTTCTTTGAATTCATTTCAGTTTTGAGAACATGTATATTTAGCTCCATTCAGTCTGCTCTGTGGTAGGATAAGGAGTTGCTTCTTGAGTCTGAAAAAAATTCTATGAATTTTCTTCTTCTAGAACTCACTCATACACTTTCAGACCAGAATCATATAAATATATAATATACTTTATATTATATATTAATTAATTTAATAGGCAATCACTTTCATAGAGAGGAACATTCTTTTGAAAGGAAGAAAAACAAAGGAAAAATATATTTGTATCCATATGAAATTCTTATAAGACTAT